CAGCGGTTATTTCCACCGTTTTGTCTTACAGCTCACTTATTCGTTCTTCTCCCTCCGTTATTCTCTTAAGGATTCCTTCTAGGGTATTTTTCACTTCAGTTATTGTGTTGTTCATCTCTGTTTGTTTGTTCTTTAGTTCTTCTAGATCTTTGTTAAACATTTCTTGTATTTTCTCAATCCGTGCCTCCATTCTACTTCTGAGATTCTGGATCACCTTTACTATCATTACTCTGAATTCTTTTTCAGGTAGATTGCCTATTTCCTCTTCATTTATTTGGTCTTGTAGGTTTTTACCTTGCTCCTTCATCTGTGATGTAATTTTTTGCCGTCTCATTTTTTTTTGATGAGTTGGATTGTGTTCCTGTCTTACTGGTTGTTTGACCTGAGGCGTCCAACGCCAGTGTTTGTAGCCTATTGGGTAGAGCTGGATCTTGGTGCTGAAATGAGGAACTCCATGAGACCTCACTCCAATGAATATTCTTTGGAGTCTGAGGTTCTTTGTTAGTCCAGTGGTTCGGACTCAGAGTTCCCACCGCAGGAGCTTCAGCCAGACCCAGGGCTCATGAACCAAGATCCCGCAAGCCGCTGGTTCACTTTGGGGCTCCTTCTGTCTCCTTGGGCGTCCGAGTCCCCTACCAGCGGCCAGCAGGTGCCCTAATTGTAGGGAGACACTAACTCTACGTCTTCCCACGCCACCATCCTGACTCTGCCTCCAGGATACTTTTTTAAACATTTTTTGGGGGGCCGTGCCTCACAGCTTGCGGGATCTTAGTTCCCCAACTGGGGATCAAACCCAGGCCCCCAGCAGTGGAAGTGCAGAGTCCCAACCACTGGACCTCCAGGGAATTCCCCTGTCCCAGGATATTGAATATTGAAACTAGGTGACCTGAGGTAGAGTGAGGGGCAGTGAGGGCTCCTTATCCTGGGACCGGACACCGGCAGGTCTAGGTACGTGGTAACAGATCAGTTAAATTACTTTCAACGGGACTTCCCCAGTGGTGCAGTGGTTAAGAATCTGCCTGCCAATGCAGGGGACATGGGTTCGAGCCCTGGTCTGGGAAGATCCCACATGCTGCGGAGCAACTAAGCCTGTGTGCCACAGCTACTGAGCCTGTGCTCTAGAGCCTGAGAGCCACAACTACTGAGCCCACACGTCACAACTACTGAGCCTGTGCTATAGAGCGCACGAGCCACAACTACTGAGCCCATGTGCTGCAACTACTGAAGCCCGCACGCTGTAGGGCCTGTGCTCCACAACAAGAGAAGCCACCACAATGAGAAGCCCACGCACTGCAACAAGGAGTTGCCCCCGCTCACCGCAACTAGAGAAAGCCCGTGCGCAGCAACAAAGACCTGACGCAGCCAAAAATAAATAAATACATAAACTTATTTTAAAAAATTACTTTCAATGGTCTCATGTGGCCCAGAACATGTACCAGTCAAGGCTGATACTTCAGGAAACTTGGTAGCAAAATGTCCAGGCTGCCAGTCTGTGCGTTACTTCTAGCTGTCTTCAGAAGGTGCTACAAGATGAGTTCAATTCTGTTCAGTTCTGTTCAGTTCTGCTCAAGATCAGGAAAAAGAAGGGCAAATATCTAAGTCTGTCAAGGGAAATGCTTTTCTCCTATAGCTGGTGACTACCCAGGGTCTGCTAATCATGCACCTGCTCTAAGCGGCAGCCACATTCTGTCTCACCCTGTTTCTAACGCTCAGGGAGCACTGAACAGAAAAGGCAGCGAGCTTAGCAGTTGGAATGTGGATATCTGGGAAGAGCCACAGGAGTGGACAACCCTTAACCTCTGGTGTCTCTAGAGCCTCCTATTGTCAAGTGGCCGGAGGGCAGGCAGGGGTAACATCCCAAGAGAATTTAGGGAAAAAGTCTTCCTTCCACCCCAAGTCAGACGATTATTCCTCTTCTCATCTTCAGGCTAAAAGAAGAAACTGGCCACCATGCTTGCTGCTAAGAAACCCCAGCCCTGGGGCACGGCCCAGCCTACGGCTGAGTATTAAACTGGGCAGGATTTCATGGAATTGGATATTAGTAAATGACGCGACCCAAAGTAAAATTGACAGGCAACCAACTAGGGTTTTATGGGGGTTGAAACTCCAGGAAACCCTAAAACTTGGAAGTTGGGGCTTGTGATGTCTTACCCTCTGGGCGTTTCCCAGGCCCAAGTACTGGCACCAACAAGAAGCAGGCTGCCGGGGCAGCTGCATCCTCTTCTAGAAAAAGCCTTCCCAAGAACCTCTCAAGGGCAGGCCTGAAAGACTCTAGGCAAGGTGTCTCTTCCCAGTGGGCAGAATCTGGGGCAGCCACACTTGCCAACAGAGGAGCCGAGGTAGGTAACCAGCAGAGCAAACCCCACGTGATAGCTTATTCCTAAAGTTTCATTTACTGTGCCCGTCTAGAAGGCCATGCTGTGTGCTCTGTACGGAGCTTCCCTTTTTTGCTCTATAGATCAAGTACGGTAGGGGAGGTTAAATTGATCATTTAGTCTATCAGTCGAGGGGGATCCTGAGGGGCCACCGTAGAGGAGATTCCGCAGAAATAGAGGGGCGTGGGGATCAGCTGGAGACGGCAGCTCTGAGGATGGAGCCCTGGGCGCAATGGTTTGACAGGGCTTGGATTGCCTCGCATTTGGCGTAGGGGGCGAAGCATCTGTGGTTGAGTTTGTGATGTCAAGGTTAAGCAAGGGCAACAGGAACGGAGATGTCTGGGGAAAGCCGAAGGAGAACAGCAAGGCTGTGGGTACTGGGCAGGACAGACCGCCTATCCAGCCCCCTTTTCTGGTCACCCTCCCTTGTGTGGTCATGAGGACAGGCAACTCGGAACAGAAACTTGACCACTAGCCATAGCTCTCTGGGCCAGAAGGGAGGCCTTGATCCAAGAGAGGAGAGTCAACTCCTCCGGAAATGGGCTTGGGACCTGGAAATGGTTCTCTTTGGGTGAAGGGATCCAGGATCCATCAGTTTGGCAGGTGCGATGCAGGTGGGCAAATGGGAACGAGCCAGCAGCGCTGAGAGAGTGTCCAGGGCTGTCTGGTCCCATCACCCCAAAGCTGGGCTGCGTCTCTGGGTCCCATGGGCACATCCTATACATCGGCCATGGAGTCCCCTTTCCTCTTGGAGCTAACAGCGCTGATTTCTGATTCTTGGAACCACACATATAGTGGGACAGCGACCTATACTGGGGTATCCGGTGAGGCTGAGGTTCAAGAACACAGTAGACACGGGTAACCAAGGGAGCCGACACAGCTAGCCTCCCAGGGCTGCGGGCTGCCCTCCGTGCTGTACCATGAGCTGTGACTTGCGGCTCCAGAGCAGCCTGGGCTCTCTCTCTGACTCTGGGCCTTTGCTCGTGCTGTTCCCCTTGCCTGGAGCACCCTTCCCAGCTCCCCCTTCTGCCCCTACCCCGTACTTTATTTGCCTGGCTACTCAGCACAGGTGTTACCCACCTGGCTCCCTTGCCCTGAGCGGGTCCCCATCTTTACTCCAGGCTGTGCCATCCCCACTGCAGACTTGGTCTGCTCGACTGTGACTGCCTGTGTGCTCAGCTGCTCCCTGGGGTCAGGGGCTCTGCATGGATCTGGCCTGGCTCCCTGGCCCTGAGCTCCGTGTCGGGCACCCAGAGACTGTTGCAAGTGAGTCTGTAGAAATGCTGAATGAATCGGACGAATGAATGGCACAGTCACGGCCGGACAAGTCAGGCTTTGCCCAGGAGAAGGGTCAGGGGACTGTAGCCAAGGGAGAGGAAAGTTCTGGTCCCAGCCAGTATGGAAACAGCTCTTTCATTTCCTTCCAGCAGGAACCTGACACCCAGTGGCGCTGAAACTGGAGGCTCAGAGGCCTAACAGCCGCAGAGAGGCAGGGAGGCTGGACTCACCTTTCAGAGTGGCCCCTCCACCCCTCATATCACCAGAGATGTGGCTTCAGCCTGGTTCAGTCCATCCCTAGGTCCTGCCCCAAGCGTAGGAACAAATGCTGTTTCCCAATTGAGGATGAGGACGTAGGAACCCCTGCTCCTCCCATCAGGCGGGCTCCTAGCCTCCCCCCACCAGCTTCCCGGGTTCTAGCATCCTGTCTACGCTGAGCAGCAGCCCGCGGAGTCCAGAGCTTGTAGCTGGGGGGCAGGGCATGCCCCGCGCACCCCTCGCTCTGGCTTCCCCAGGTTGCCTTCCCAGGCAGGCCTCCGCCTTCACCCCACCACCCACCAGCTCGCCCTGATGAAAGAGCAATGGTGCAAAATTCGTTGGGGAGAAAAACAGGAAGTGGAGCTGGAGAGCAAGGCTGCAGAAGCACTACCCAGCGGAGACTGTGGCAGCCCCCTTCCACCCGCAGTCTTACAGGAAAGTGGTGAGCGGGCAGCCCCCGCCTGAGCATGGGAGTGTGGTAGGGGAGAATCCAGAAAGAACCCTTTGCCCAGGAGGGGCTTTTTTTTAGACCAAACATCACACCTGCATCCCGCATTTTACATCTTCTCTCACCTTTTTTTTTTTTTTTTCAGTACGCGGGCCTCTCACTGCTGTGGCCTCTCCCGTTGCGGAGCACAGGCTCCGGACGCGCAGGCTCAGCGGCCACGGCTCACGGGCCCAGCCGCTCCGCGGCATGTGGGATCCTCCCGGACCAGGGCACAAACCCACGTCCGCTGCATCGGCAGGTGGACTCTCAACCACTGCGCCACCGGGGAAGCCCCTTCTCTCACCTTCTGATAACAACCCCTCAAGGATGGTAACTTTACCCCATTTTGCAGGTAAGCAAATAAACCCAGAGAAGTTAAGTGACTTGGTGGAGGCCACACAGCCTTTCCCACGGCTGGGTCATGGCTCCTTGATTCTTTCTCAGACTTTGATTTCTGTTTGCGGTGTGTTTTTGTTCTGGGCCTGTGAGTGCGCAGTGGGTGAGGGGAGGGTGGGAGGGGAGGCCGTTTCTGGCTCCTGCATCTCAGCACATCTGAGCTGGTGGGAAGAATGGGGGCGGGGCCGGCAGCTGAGGGCAACCCTTGAGGTTCTGGTTCCTGGAATGTGTGAGCTGGGAGGACCAGGAGAGGAGAAGGGGGCCGTCAGGGAGGGGAAGGCACCCAGATGACAGCCTCAGAGGGAGGGCACCGCCCCACCGAAACCCAAAATCAGGTGTTTATGACCTCAGCGGGCCCACGGTCCAAAGGACTCAGAACTTCAGGTGAGGTCAGAGCTCGCTTTCCCTCGCAGGCCTGGAGCTTGGGGTAGCCCCAATTCTTTCTCTCTCTCTATGTGTCTGAGAAGCATCATCAGAATGGGGCCCCAGGGAAAAGAGGCGGGACTCCAGGTGGCCTGAGCAGCGAGGTGATGGGGTGGGGAGGGTACCCCGCAAAGGCCGCTCCCCATCCAGGCCCGAGGCCTCACCTTGACCCCAGCTCTCCCCGACCCCAGGGTCGTGAAGCCCACCTCACCCTGCTTGCCCCGCCCCAGGACAGACCCCGGCGGGCAAACGGGGGCTTCTGGGGACCCTCCCCACTGAGTCCCCACCCCCAAGCCTCTCGCTGGCCTGGGCCCCCCGAGACCTTGACCCACGGGGCCTCCCCTGTGCTTTAGCCCCCTGTGCCGCACCCACCTGCTTCCTGGCCACCCCCCTACCTCCAGCTGCTGCTGGGCTTCCCCCCAACATTCCACAGAGCTCTCCCGCCCCTGCGGAAGGCACTGCTGCCCCGCGGTCCCTGAGGTGGGGGCCGTGGCGTCGTGCTGTGGCCTTCGCTCGCTGCCACACGCCACCGAGCGACCTCTGCCGCGACAGGGGCCCCTTTCCCAGAAGCGTCTGCGGCTGTGAGACCACACGGAGCCATGTGCTCTCCCCGTGGGCAAGCAAGACAGGCTCCCGCCCTCAGCATCAAAGGCGGTCCCTCCTCTCCCTGGCCCCTGGGGGTAGCTGCCCCCTCAGCAGCACCCAGGGGCCTCCTTTCCTCTGTGCAGGAGCCTCGGCCTCCGGTCCCCAGCCACTCCCATGCAAGGGGATGTGTGAGAACGGGCTAGTACAGGAGAGTGCTCAGGGCAGCGCCTGGCGCTTAGGGAGAGCGCAGTAGCCGTTTATTATCATCATCCTCTCATTTACTCCTCACAAGCAGCCCCTGAAGTCCCAGCATTATGCTCCTATTTAACAGGTGAGAAAACCGAGGCAGAGAGCCGGGAAGCCACGTGCGGCACGAAGGGGCTGATCAGGGGTTTGAACCTGTCTGTTGGAAGCTGTGCTCTCAGTCACTGTACCTGGGGTTTTCCAGCCTCCTCTGGTTTAGGGGCCAGCTTTGGATGTACACACGCTGCACACACACACACACACACACACACACCAGCTTTGGATGTACACACACTGCACACACACACATACACACACACACACACACAGCACACACCCCAGCTTTGGATGTACACACACACACACACACACATACACACCCCAGCTTTGGATGCACACACACTGCACACACACACTGCACCCAAACACACACGCTCCTGTACCGCTCCCACCCCCACAGGAGGGCTGGATGGGATGCGAGGCTGCACCCCGACAAAGAGGCTAAGGTGGAGCCCGGAGCGGAGCCTGCCGGCTGCCCACCGCCTTCTCCCCCGGCTCCCGCCGCCCCTCTGGGCCTCCTGTTTGGGCTTCAGGGGAGCACGGGCGCCACCTTGTGGCAATTTGGGGTTAATGCCATCTCTGTCCCAGCCGCGCCTCGCTGCGCTCAGCCCGCGCTCCCTGCGGCCGGCCGGGTTAAGTGCGTGGTGATTCTGCTAAGCTAATAAATTATAAGACAGGGAATTCACCTTCCTTTCTACCCAGCTCCCTCCAGGGATGGGAAAATGAGCAAACCCTGTGCTGCTGTGCCTGGGCTGCTGGTGGTCTGGGGCAGATACTGTGCGCCCCAGTACACTGTGTACTTCCCCAAACGTCTTGTTCTTTTCTCAATTCCTGTGCGCAAGGGGCAGGTTATTCCAGAGGCGCTTTCCCGGCTTAGCCTGGAGCCGGCGGCTCAGCCCAGCTCTTGCCTCTTCCCGTTGCTCAGCTCCCGTGCCTGGGGCGCCCGGCTGCAGCTCCTTCCTGGGCTTTCCTCCCAAGCTCCCCGCCGATTCTGCAGCAGCCTGGCGGCCTCTCCACCTGGGCACGCGGCAGTCACCTCCAAGGAATCTGCCCCCAGCCCGACTTCCCATCAACCTGCCCTCATCCTGCATTCCCTTCCTGCTTTGGTGAAAGTTGTCCCACCCTTACCGCCCCGCAGAGGCCTAAGCAGAAACCTGCCTCACCGTCCACTTCTCTCCTCTGCCTCATGCAGGTGTCACCGTCGAGGGCCAGGGGGCTACAGGTTTCACTCACTCATTCGACACGTTGTCAGATGCCACCAAACACGGTCCTACGTCCTGAGGATACAGGGTGATCAACGAACGTCCCCACCCTTGAGGACATTCAAAGGGTGGGCGGTTTTGGGGGAGGGGAGGGGCAGATGTTACAGGATAAAACAATACCTTGCAAGGCAGTATGCGCTATGCAGAAGAAAGCAGGGTAGGGGGCCGCCATCGCCAGACCCCCAGGTGCCCTCCTCACCCTGCTTGGGCTCCAAACCGCACATCAGGAAGCTGCTGCCCTGCCTGGCCTCCCTCCCTCACCGTGGAGCTCCCCAGCCTCTGGGATTGGGGAAGGGAGGAGTGTGAAGCTGGAGGCACAGCAGGCCGGCTCCCACCTCCCCCTGGCCCAGGCCTCTTGGCTGAAGCTGGTTTGAGCCAGTTTCTTTCACTTTATCACCTTGAACATTTCGCTGCAACCTTCTAAATGCAGCTTATTTTTTAAAATAGATTTATTTATTTACTTTGGCTGCGTTGGGTCTTCGTTTTTGCGTGCGGGCTTTCTCTAGTTGCGGCGAGCGGGAGCTTCTCTTGTTGCGGAGAACGGGCTTGTCACTGCAGTGGCTTCTCTTGTTGCGGAGCACGGTCTCTAGGCGCATGGGCTTCAGTAGTTGGGTCACGCGGGCTCGGTAGTTGTGGCTCGGGGACTCTAGAGCGCAGGCTCAGTAGTTGTGGCACACGGGCTTAGTTGCTCTGCGGCATGTGGGATCTTCCCGGATCTGGGCTCGAACCCGTGTCCCCTGCATTGGCAGGCGGATTCTTAACCACTGCGCCACCAGGGAAGCCCATAACTGCAGCTTCTTTCCTCTAACCCGTGTTCCCTCCTGTCCCAGCCAGATCCTATTTCCAGAAGACTTCATTGCTCTACAGGCTAACTAGGCAAAGACAAAGGTCTGGAAAGTTCCAGGGTCCTGAGTGGGAGTGATCATAACCAGTGCTTACCAAGTACCAGGCACTGTTCTAAGCAATCCTCACCCAGTTAACTCACTCAGGTCTCACAATGGTCCTTCACGCAGCCTCTTCTGGGATTTTCACAGCACAGGGGAAAGGTGGGGGGGGGCAGACAGGGGGCTAAGGTGATGGACAGGCCGGGATCCAGACCCCCTGGGCCTGACTTGGTCCAGAAGCTGAAGGGCCCCGTGTTGCTGGGTGGCACAGGAGGACAGGTGCTGGCAGGATCCGTGTGTAACGTGCAAAGGGGAAACGTACAAAGGGAAACTAAGAATTTCCAGATGGCTCTTCAAGCAGAGCATTAAACCAAGCATCAGGCCACTGATCACACTGGTCGGACACCCAGGAAGAGGGCGTGGTGGTGAAAAGAGACAGGAGGACCTTGGCTCAGGCCCTTAAGAAAGGGAGATCCAGGGTGGGTTGTAGTAGGTGATGCTCGTGCTGCTGCCTTTGCCTTCCCACGGGGACCCCCCCCTCCCCAGCCTTCCAGGGGCCCCTTGTTGAGACTAGAAAGGTCCTCTGGGTCCTGGACCCAGAAAGCAGGGGCAGGGGTGCAGCCCCACACGAGAGAGGGGGCGTTAGGTGTTTCCCGCTGCCTTTGACATGATCCCTCCTCCCTGTCCAAATCCCCTTCTCTGAACTCAAAATCACCAGAAACCAGGGGGAGTCTGGTATCAGGACCAACAGCTTCCTCCCACCCACCCCTTCTCCCCACCCTAGGTCATTGGGGAGGGACATTTAAAATGTGCAGGGGAAACTAAAGATCCCGCAAGCGGCAACGAAGACCTCTTGTGTCCCTGCATGCCGCAACGAAGACCCGGCGCAACCAAATACATACATACATACATACATACATACATAGGGACTTCCCTGGTGGTGCAGTGGTTAAGAATCTGCCTGCCCATGCAGGGGACATGGGTTCGAGCCCTGGTCCGGGAAGATCCCACATGCTGCGGAGCAACTAACGACTACTGAAGTCCTCGGGCTAAAGGGCCCGCCTGCCGCAACTACTGAGCCCGCGTGCCGCAACTACTGAAGCCTGCACGCCTAGAGCCCGTGCTCTGCAATAAGAGAAGCCACCGCAATGAGAAAACCCGTGAGCGGCAATGAAGACCCAACGCAGCCATAAATAAACATTTTTTAAAACGGTGCGGGAGATGTGTTCTGAGCATCCCTTACACACATAGGACTCGCTGTAACTCATCTTCCATTTAGCAAAGCTGCTTCCTTTAATGAAGCCTGCCGCTCAACAGCAGGGGTTGCTTTGAAAAAGTTACGGCACCAAAGATGAAAAAGTGTGCCGTCCTCAGAATCGTGTGGAAGAATATTTAATGGAAAGGGAAAATGCTCAAGATGTGAGACATTTTTTTAAAAGCTGTCTTAAAAAAACAAAACCAGCATGCCCAGCATGATCCCAATTTTGTTAAACAAATATACACATTTTCACTCATTTATTCCTTCCACCAACATCTATCGAAAGAGGAGCCTCCTGTGAGCCAAGCTGACCCTGCAGGTGTGGGGGTGGGGGACGGATGTGAGGAAACCGAGCTGCTCCAGCCTCACAGGTGAGCCGCAGGCTTGGCTGCCAGAGGAAAGTCCCAGGGGCTATGGGAAGGTTTGAAGGCTTCCTGAAGGACGTGGCACTGGAAGGAAAAGCTGCAGGACTGAGAGCTGGGCAGAAAGGGTGCGGGAGACCCAGAGGCAGCAGAGAGCTCACCAGTTTGGGAACGAGCCAGATAGATCCCAAGCAGTGCTCGGGGCTGAATCGGGGGTCCTGACCAGGACAGATGGGGCCCTGTGAGCCACCAGAACGGGAGTCACCCAAGGGCCTGGGTCTATCCAGCTCCCGCCCGTGACACACAGTCTCGCAAAGGAAATAAAAATGGGTGGGAATAACGGGAATGGTCAGGGAAGACCCCTCTGAGGAGGTGATGTCTGAGCAGAGACCTATAGGAAGAGTGCGGGGAGAGTCGTCCAGGCAGGAAGTGCCACGTGTCTGCGGGTGGAGGCCTGGAGGTGGGAGGGGCCTGAGATAGTCCAGGAGCTGCAGAAAAATCACGGCACTGGAGCAGGGCTGCCCCCCGGTGTGCAGGGACCCCAGCAGGTGTTTACACGGCTCCTGTCTGTATAAACAATTCTGAGGAATCCAGAATCAGCGTGGCATCACCATCCTTGCAGCCCAATCTCATGCAACCTCCCGAAGCAATGCCCCGCTGGCCAGTGGGAGCCATCCTTTACCAGGCTCCCTCCCGGGCTGACTGCATAGGTGTGAAGACCTGAACTCCTCGAAGCATCTGAGGGGTTAAGTGTCCCACCTAAATGACAGTTGTGGCCCCTGTTGGTCCCGGGCACCCAGGAAGATGCTGTTTGAGGAAGGGGATCCAAAGTTTGGGGCACCCCTGAGGCATGGGGCCTGCAGTCCCTGTACCCCCTTGTCTGGGCCTAAGGGTGGTACTGAGGTGGAGGGTGGGTGGAGAGCCAGGGAGCCAGGGACGGGGCAGGGGGAGGGAGGCAGGGCCGAAGTGGGTGGGCCTGCAGGGACTTGAAGCTAAGAACACAGGGAAGCCAGCCCTGAGTGTCCACCGCACCCTTTGGGTCCCAGCCATCGTGGAGCCATGAACAAGCCCATCCCCACCCCTCTCTCCAAGAGCCATAGTCCAGTCCCTCGTTGCACAAGCAGGACCAGTGAATGCAATGAAGTCCCGCCCCTGGGTTTTCGGGGTCTCCTGAGCAGCTGTCGCCAGGTTCCAGAGTGGGCCGTGTGGGGTCTTCTCAGTGCAGGACAGGAGGCAGAGCCCCTCCTCACCTCTTCCCTCCTGGGAGTTAGCGGAGCAGCCCTCTCCTCAAACCTCTCCCTGGCGTGGGCCCCTCTGAAGGCAGAGGCCCCGAGGTGCCCTCTCTGCAGCCCCCGCTTGCCTGCCTGACCTTCTAGGGCGCTCAGCACCCAATGAACAAGCGAACAAATGTGGCCGCCTTGACGGAGTGTCTGCTCCTCCCTGGTCCCCCCGGGCTCCTGCCTACCGCGATGAAACACCGTGATGTGGCATCAACGCCCACACGTTAGGAGACCCAGAGACCTTGTGCACGTTGCCCAAGCCCACCCAGTTGATAAGGGGCAGAGAGGAGATTTGAGCCCAAATTCATCTGGTGACACCAAGTAACAACACCAACCAACCTTCCTCGTGGGTCAACCCCATGCACCTAGCACTGCGTGGCTTCTGACCCACTGCAAGGTGTCTAAGCCTCACCCTAGCTCTGGCGGCGGAGGCGGGGGCGGTCCAGATTCACCATCTCACAGCCACAGGGGCGTCCAGAGAGCCCTCCATTATCAAACCCATGAGTCATTCTGCAGGAGAATGTGTGGCTTGCAGGCAAAGCGTGAGGGGGACGGGCGGTGGGTGGGGAATCCAGATCATAGCCTCACCTCAGTTCAGGTCAGAGATTTAGCCAAGTGAGTTTGTACCAGACTTCAACACTTGCCATTTTCATAGCTTTGGGGGCTTTGGAACTGACAATAAGGGATTGTGAGTCTGTACTGCCCCCATTTTATTGATGACAAAACTGAGGTCGATAAAAAAAGGATCCAACTTTACGCGGGAGTTGGCTGAGTTGGAATTTATGTACTTTTTTTCTTGGTGGTTATGGGTCAGAAGTCGGCCATGCTGCGCGGCTTGCAGGATCTAAGTTCCCCGATCAGGGATTGAACCCAGGTCCTGGCAGTGACAGCACGGAGTCCTAACCACTGGACCACCAGGGAAGTCCCTGAGTTGGGATTTAAATCAGGCCGTGTTGTCAGTGTTTCTGCTCTCCTGCCCCCCCACCCTCATCCCCAACCCAGTAACTATGTAACAAGCACCTTTATACTACAGACTCAATCTTATAGCAGCCCGAAGAGGTAGAAAACAGGTCCCCAGTTTTTTCCAGGAGGGGCCTGAGTCTCAGGAGAGTAATTAATTTATCCAAGGTGAGCGAGCCAGGTAGAGGCAGAATTTCACCCAGTTCTGCCCACTACAAGCCCACGTTGTTTCCACAGGGTGGCTAGATTTTATCCTGGATATATGTATACAAGTTGCAAGAGAACAAATGCTTGGAAACACATATAGTGTACGGAAGGATACAAGAAATCCTATTCCCCAGGGACCACCATGGCTGATAGTCTGGTATGAGTTCCTTCCTGGCAGGAGGGGCTACAGAATTGCAGGGCCCTGTGCAAAATTAAACTATGGGGCCCTTTGTTCAAAAAAGATGAAGAATTTCAAGATGCTGACAGCAGAGCATTAAACCAAGTGGAGCACGGAGCCTTTCTGCACATGGGGCTGTGAGCCACTGCATGGGTCTCACACCCAGGAAGTCGGCTCTGCTTCCTGCTTTGCCTCTTAGATACACTCCTAAGGAGGTGCAGGCCTTTAGATATGTACAAGAAGGCAATCTATTGTACCTGTTACTCTGCAACCTGCTTTTCTCATTCATGAAGAATAACAAGTCACCCTACACACCAGCTCCTGTGCTAAGCACCTTATATGCTTATCTCATTTTCAATGCTGTGAGGTAGGTATTACAGGATATAGAATAAACGATTGCTATCCCCATTATACAGATGAGAGACTGGAGGCACAGGTCCAAGTGATTTGTCCAAGGTCACAGTGTAAGTGGAAGATGGAGGATTCGCAGACAGGTGGTTTGGTCCGGAGTTTGCCCACCTAACCTCTCCCTGATCATACCTGACGCATGGGCTCTGGGTGATTGTCCGATTTCCAGGTCAGCACGCACAGAGCTCTCTCTCTCCTTCCTTTTAGGAGCTGCCCGACACTCCAATGGATGGAACTGTGCCATATTTATCTGATCAGCCCCCGATGATGGACATGCATGTTGCTTCCAATTTTTTTTAATTGAAGTATAGTTGATTTACAATATTGTGTTAGTTTCAGGTGTACAGCACAGCGATTCAGTTATATATATATTTAATATATATATTACATATATTTTATATACATATATATATATTCTTCTTCAGAGTCCCTTCCCTTATAGGTTATTACAAAATATCGTTTCCTGTGCTACACAGTAGGTCCTTGTTGGTTGTCTATTTTATATACAGTAGTGTGTATAAGTTAACCCTAACCTCTTAATTTATCCCTCCCCCTACCCCCCTGCTTCCAATTTCTTGATCATAAACCCAGCAGCGTCCCTCCTCGGCCCCTACCTCTGCCAATTTCTGGAGAAAGACTGTTTCCACATTGCAGGCCAGGGGCTTGCGATCTAAGCTGAGCCCCAGCCAGTGGGAATGTAAGGTCCTCAGCAGCACGGGATGGCAGTGTCGGGGAGATGTTTCAGTTGGAACATCCAGGCTGAGAAGGAGCGAGCGGCGGGTCCAGGTGTGAAGAATGTCTTGGCAGGTGTTGCGGAAGCTTCAGGGCCCTCAGGGGGAGGCTGGCACAGGGGCTGGGGGCCAGCATGTGCCACATGACAAAAATCACAGGGGCTCTGTCTCGGATTCTGAGTGGGTGAATCTGGGCTCAACTTACTGCTCACCCTGAGGCTGCCCCAGCATCAATCCCCCATGATCCCTTGCAACCTGAGACACACACTGATAAAAAGAAACCAGCCCCCAGTGTGGGGAGGGCAGCCTCTCATGGGGTATTCCCATAGAGACACCAGGGAGGCCTCTGTATGAGTATCCTCTAGTTGCTGTAACAAGTTACAGCAAATTTAGTGGCTTCAAACAACACACATTTGTTGTCTTACAGGTCTGTGGGCAAAATGTGCGACATGGGTCTCCCTGGGCTACAATCAAGGTTTTGAGAAGCTGTGTCCCTTCTGGAGGCTCTAGGTGAGAATCTGCTTCCTTGCCTTTTCTTCCAACTCTGTTTGACTCTAACAGGTCCCGGGAATTAGGATATAGATTTCTTTGGGAGTCATTATTCTGCAGGCCTCCATCTCCTTTTAATGAATCTCACCCAAATGAAAAATTGGAACCACTTACCGGAGACACTGAAAGAGTTGTTTGTTTGTTTTTTTACAAGCCCTTCTTTTTTTTAAAAAAATAAATAAATAAACTTTTTAAAAAAAATAAACTTTTTAAAGATATAATTTATGTACTGCTGACGACATCCATTTACAGTGTCCCATTGGCTGAGTTTTGGCAAACGTATTCACCCCAGAAACATTGTCTCTGTCAGGATGAAGAACATTCCCATCACCCCCAAAGATTCCTGGGGCCCCTCCATATCAATCCTTCCCTCCACTGCAGTCTCAGGCAGCCACTGATCTGTTTTGTTTTTTATCATCACTATGGATTAGTTTGCATTTCCTAGAATTTTACAAAAATGGGCTCATACTGTAGTATTGCTTTGTATCTAGCATCTTTCCCTTCACGTAATGATTTTGATACTCATTCTTGTTGTTGGCTGTATCAGTAGTTCGTTCCTTTTCGCCAAGTACCATTCCATTTTGGGGATATGTCACATTTCGTTTATCCAGTCATCTAGGAATGGATATTTGAGTTGTTTCTAGTTTTGTCTATTGTGAATAAAGCTGCTACGAAATTTCATGTACAAGTCTTTTTGTCACATATGTTTTCAATTCTCTTGGGTGTGTTTCTAGGAGTAGACTTGCTGGGTCATTTGGTGACTCTATGATTAACATTGAAATGTATGAGGGTTCCAGTTTCTCCAAATTCTCATCAATACTTGTTACTGTGTGTCTTTTTTTGTTATGGCCACCCTAGGTGTGAAGTGAGATCTCACTGTGGTTTTGATTTGCATTTCTCTAATGACTAAATGGGGGAGGGGTGAATGCTGATGGGCACAGGGTTTCTTTTTGGGGTGATGAAAATGTTCTATAATTAGATAGTGATGATACTTATACAATGCTGTGAATTTACTAAAAATCACTGAATTGTACACTTTAAGATGATGAATTTTATAGTATGTAAATTATGTCTCAATAAAGACATTTTTAAAAAAAAATTTTTTTTTTTGCAGTACGCGGGCCTCTCACTGTTGTGGCCTCTCCCGTTGCGGAGCACAGGCTCCGGACGCGCAGGCTCAGCGGCCATGGCTCACGGACCCAGCCGCTCTGTGGCATGTGGGATCCCCCCAGACCAGGGCACGAACCCACGTCCCCTGCATCGGCAGGCAGACTCTCAACCACTGTGCCACCAGGGAATCCCAAGACATTATTAAAAATAGAAGACTAGTATATAGAGTATAGACAGAGTATATATCATGGACATTCATAAACTTTCAGTGACCTATAGGGTTTTTCCAACTATTAAACACAGCCCAATTCTAGGAACCAATAATGTCCTTAAAATGAGGCAGAGAAGCCCCTAGTTCCTTCATTCCCTACCCCAACTTGGACATATTCTGGTTCTCTGCACCAGACTATGAAGAAAGGATCTTAGTTTGATAGCGTTTGGGCTACTGCAGTGATCCTCAATCTTGTGTCTACATTAGAATAACCTGGGGAACTTTTAACTTTTTCAACTTTATATTGAACTATGTCATCTGTATTAGTTTGTTACTGCTGCCTTAACAAAATATCACTGACTGGGTCGCTTAAACAACAGAAATTTATTGTCTCACATTCCTGGAAGCTGGAAATCCAAGATCAAGGTGTCAGCAGGTTTGCTTTCTCCTGAGGCCTCTCTCCTTGGCTTGCAGACGACCACCTCCTTGCTGTGTCCCCACGTGGTCTTTCCTCTGTGCACATGCGTCCCTGGTGTCTTTCTCTCTTCTTAAAAGGACACCGGTCCTATTGGCTTAGGACTCTATTCTTATGACTTCATTTAACCTTAATTACCTCCTTAAAGGGGCTATCTCCAAATACAGTCACATCAAGGTTTAGGGCTCAACGTATGAATTTTAGGGGCACACAATTCAGTCCACAACATCACCCATACAGGAAGCACAGAAATCCTAAGTGTACAGCTTGGTGAGTTTTCACAAGCCATACCAACGGCATCCAGCTTAAGAAGTAGAACATTACAAGCACCCAGAGCCTCACCCCTCCAGGCCCCCTTCTAGGTACATCCCATCCCTCAGAAGAGTAACTGATACCAAACCAAACTCGGGTCTGCTCACCCGACGCACAGGAAAGCCAGTCCACTGATTGTGTGTCGTGGTGAAGGAAAGTACAGCGTTTAGCGCAAGGTGCCCAACATGCGGCCAAGCAAGGAGAACAGGCAGCTCGTGCTCAAAAGACCCGAACTCCCCAGTGGCTTTTGGGGAAGGGATTTTAAAGCCAAGGTGAGGGAGAAGGTCGCGGGGTGTCTGATCAGTTTGTGGACATTCTTCTGATTGGTTGGTGGTAAGGTAACTGGGTGGTATTTTGGGAGTCAGCGTCATCACCCTTCTGGTTCCAACTGGTCTGGGGTCTACGTGCTGTGGTCAGCAAGAGGTTAACTTCTTCCACCTGGTGTGGGTTTTAGAATCCGCCAAACAGCTCAAAGGACACGGCTCATGATATTATCTACAGCCCTTGAGGAGGAACGAAGGTCCTTGACTTTGTTTTACGGCTAAACGATTATTATTTTGCCTCGCTTGACAGTTTTCTTTTGTTTCCGCATTTTCTCACTTCTCTGATTAAATCTGCTCTTTGGAACTCAGAGAAGACTTAGGAGGCTAAAGCTTTTATATTATCAAGAGGCCGGAGTGGGACACTGGGGTCTGTCCCCAGGAAGACCCCACAGGGTCCTGCTTGGTTTTATAACCACTATTGTGATTCTAACCCTATAGATTATTGTTGTCTGATTTTGAACTTTTTATATAAATAACTATATATGTATTCATTTGTGTCTATCTTCTTTCATTCACTGTTGTGTTATAAGTCCATCCATGTTGCTGCATAGCAAAAATCTGCTCATTTTATTGCCGTGTTAATGTCAACATGTGTAAATGTCCATGTTCGCTGTAATTTTTTTTTTGTTTGTTTTGTTTTTTTGCGGTATGCGGGCCGGTCACCGCTGTGGCCTCCCCCGCCGCGGAGCACAGGCTCCGGACGCGCAGGCCCAGCAGCCATGGCTCACGGGCCCAGCCGCTCTGCGGCACACGGGATCCTCCTGGACCGGGGCACGAACCCGTGTCCCCTGCATCGGCAGGTGGACCCTCAACCACTGCGCCACCAGGGAAGCCCCTGCTGTAATTTTTTATCCATTCTACTGTAGATGGACATTTGGTTCATTTCCTGTTTTGGGTCCTGCGGTAACTGCAGGAGAGCAAATAGGGACTATGCTAAATAAAGATCAACCTCTGAGAATCTAACAGGTGAAGGAATCAGACTTTTATTGAGCATCTAGTATTGCCAAGCATCTTCATATAGATTATTGCACTTGTTTATCTCTCCTTCCTCTGGGTCCCCAAGCTGCTTTGTTTGGAACTCTTGCGTTTGTCTGTCTCCCTGTATTCCACCCCCCTCCCCTAAGCTCAGTTAGCTCATCAGGGGACTTCCCTGGTGGCCCAGTGGATAAGACTCTGCACTCCCAATGCAGGAGGCCCGGGGTTCAGTCCCTGGTCAGGGAACTAGATCCCACATGCATGCTGCAACTAAGAGTTTGCATGCCACAACAAAGGAGCCCATGTGCCGCAACTAAGGAGCCCGCCTGCCGCAACTAAGACCCAGTGCAACCAGATAAGAAAAATAAGTAAATAGGCTCATCAGAATCTCTGGGGGTGGGAGCCAGCATCAGCATTTTTTAGTTTTCCAGGGGATTCCAATATCCTGCCAAGGTTGAGAATCAGTGAGTTAGACTCAAAATTTTAGGGCTATGTGTTAATAAGGCAGGGCAGCTCCAGCAGGCCTGTGGGCCTCACTTCGGTGGTCTTGGTGAGCCCTGCATCAGGTAGTGGGTTCTAAATGCCAGCCTGGGATCAGAAGGAAGATTGGGGGCCGTGGGGAGCAGGTGGTGCCTCCTGGAAATGCCCTCAGGATCCCTTCTCCTGCTAACAGACTATGAGCAACATCTTTGGAGCACCACACCCTTGGGCACTTGCTGGAAATGCAGATTCCTGGGTCCCTCCCAAGATCTAAGGTTCAGACTTTTAATGAGTCCTGTGAACACAAAAGTTTGAAAACCACTGATTTAAAAAGTTGACAAGTTCAGGATCTGGAAGCCAGAGCATGCATAAGATCCCTGCTGATGTTCTGTTTTATCATGGGGAGAGGCAGTGTCTCAGTTTCCTCATCTGTAAAATGGGTCTTATGATCTCTAAGGTTGTTTCCTGCAAAAGGCTCTGGTCAAATTTGAACTGAGTCTGAATTAGTTATAAGTTGAAAGCTTTTAAGTTGCCATCAAGTGCTATGCTGATACCTTTAAAAAGATACTAATTTCAAAAATTTAGCTGGTGTGTTTCTACTGATGAGTTAGGGACCAAGTGAAAGATTAGGGATGTTTATTAGGGGAAGAATGCATAAGGAAAATAACTAAAGCAACCGTCCCACTAAGCAGTGTTATTGTAATGGCCAAGGATTCCCCCAAGTTCTGTAAATAAATTTTTTAAAATAAACATTTTATTTTGGAACAATTTTATTTCTTTTAAATTAAAAAAATATTTTAAGTGAAGTACTTTAAAAAATTAATTAATTAATTAATTTAGGCTGTGCCACATCTTAGTTGCGGCATGTAGGATCTTTATTGCGGCATGTGGGATCTTTTAGTTGTGGCATATGCACTTCTTAGTTGCGGCATGCTTGTGGGATCTAGTTCCCCGACCAGGGATCGAACCCTGCATTGGGAACGGAGAGTCTTACCCGCTGGACCGCCAGGGAAGTCCCTGGAACAATTTTAGATTTACAGAAAAGATGGTACAGAGAGTTTCTGTATACCCCACATCCAGCTTCCCCTATTGCTAGCACCTTGCATAATTATGGTACAATCTTCACAACGAATGAACTGATATCACTACTAGAAAAACTCTATAATAAGGTTTTGTTTTTAAATAGGTTAATATTTTGGAAATCCATACCAATTCCATGTATTCTAGTGATTTTGTGGGGAAAAAATACAGCTGACAAGCAACTTCGGGCTGGTTACTGCTTACTCAGCATGGAAGCAGAAAATGGGACCTGCTGATTTGGTCTCTTTCTACACTGTTCGGTTGTGCCTGCGGTCACTTGGGGCCATTTCTACCAGCCCTTCTATAAGGTCATCAGCTAATGCAGTTGGTGAGTTGGCAGTGTGGAGTGAAGGGGCCAAATAAAAGTGAAATATTCAATCCAACTCCCCCACCCTTTTTGCTATTTATAAGGTCAAAATAGAGATCCATGTCCCTCAGGCTCCACCACAGTGAATTAGGGAGCTGCAAGTTCATGACAAGCTGTCAGTGTCCCTGAAAACAGAAAACCAAATCTCTAGAAAAAATCCCAACTCAGCAAACCTCTCAGAAGCTGCAGGGAGGCCTCAAGGTCATAAAATGCCTTGACCAGTGATAGATGGCTGCTCCATACTAGGCCTGGCAATAAAATCAACTTCAGAAAACCACAAACTTTTCCTTAAACCAATAGTCTTCCTGCATTATGTCTACAGCAAGTTGAAAGGGGAAATCATGCATCTCCTCGCCGGAAGGCAGCATGAGCAGTTCTTGGGGAATGTTCTGGCAATCTGGTGGGCAGGTGAGAGCTATGCTATGTGGACTTGTGCTAATACATATAATTTAGATGGATTAACTTGGAAAGGTCCACTAGTATTAAAAGGAAGAGTTCAGGTTGTTTAAAGAAATTCTGTAAAGTGCACCAGGTGGCCCCAGCAGCGATGCCCTGACACACAGGCCACCCGATTCTGGCTAAGGTGCCACAGGCAGTGAGGAAGCCCCCTACATATGTATTGCTATTAATTTCCACACGCAATTCAAGCTAAGTAGCAAATAATTCAGCTAAGTAGAGGAAAACACCAAACACAGAAAATGCTGCTATGCTCATAAATCTTGGACTCGGATCTTGGTTCTCCAAAAATTGAACAACTTTTAGTTAAAAAAAAAAAAAAAATCACCACCAGAAATCTCTTTCCACCTTCAGAATTGAGGGGAACAGTGAAAGGACCCCAGCAAAATTTCACCTGCACGTTTAGCCCTGGGCAGTTAGGCTACTTAATGCACTGAGTGGGGTAGGTAAACCCCCTAGGACTCACACCCAGAATTGCTTTCTGTGGGACTTCACTGGCAGTCCAGTTGTTAAGACTCCTGCACTTCCACTGCAGGGGGCACGGGTTCAATACCTGGTCAGGGAACTAAGATGCCACATGCCCCACCATGTGGCCAAAAACAAACAAACAAAACCCCCAAACAAAAACCAAACCAAAACAAAATTGCTTGGTTTAACCCCAAAAACATATAGTAGAAGTGTCACCATTTCTGCCCCAGGGGACTGTTTCTTTGACATTGCATATGATTTTCTGGGCAGCAAGGACAGAGCCGAAACCCAGCATCCCAGTCGGTTTGATTTTTCCCCCTCAAATCCCAGGGCTCGGGCCCAGTGGGAGACTGTCCATTCTAAGCATGGTTATTGGTCCTTACTTGGTTTAGAAGGAGAAGGACAAATATCCCCAGAGTCAGGTGCAGCTTCATCCCTGGTCCTGTCCAGGCCCAAAGCCAGCAGCTCTGCCCATCGCTGCTGCCCACGGTCTGCTTGTGCCCCTGAGGTAGGAGGTTCCATCCCCCGGGGTAGTGGATGGAACAGTCAGAGCTCGTGTCCCCACCTCTGAGGTGCGGCCTCCGGGCCGGGTGGTGGACCTGTTGTCCCTGTGAGGTCCCTCCCCGCGGCCCCCAGATCCAGCCTGGCCCCTTTGCCTTTGTTGGGGTGAGGGCAGGTTGGCGGGGTCACACCAGGCCAGATATTTGCAAATGGCCATCTGCATCCTCCCCATGAAGACTCTGCCTGGACTTCCCTGGTGTCACAGTGGTTAAGAATCCGCCTGCCAATGCAGGGGACACAGGTTCGAGCCCAGGTCCGGGAAGATCCCACATGCCGCGGAGCAGCTAAGCCCGTGCACCACAACTACTGAGCCTGCGAGCCACAACTACTGAGCTCTTGCACCACAACTACTTAAGCCCGCGCGCCTAGAGCCTGTGCTCCGCAACGAGAAGCCACCGCAATGAGAAGCCCCTGCACCGCAACGAAGAGTAGCCCCCGCACGCCGCAACTAGAGAAAGCCCGCGCGCAGCAACGAAGACCCAAAGCAGCCAAAATTAAATAAATACATAAATTTATTTTTAAAAAGGGGGGAAAAAAGATTCTGCATACCCCGACCCCCAACCCAGCCTTAAACCACACAGAGACCTCACCTCTGAGTGTGGGTGGCAAACATTTTCCTCCAGACGATCCAAGAAGACAAAACTCCTAAATCAGACCCATTCCCCAGTGACTTCCAGTACGAGGTTAGAGGTGGGCTTCTCTCCCACGCCTCCCGCAGCCTGGCTCTCGCAGGGACCCTCTAGCATCCTGGTTCAGCTCAGAGAGAAGGGTCAGAGCTTATGTCTCTCAAGCCTGAAATGCTACCACACCGGCAGGACCCCTTCTCGACGGTGGCTTCTGCCACCTTCTGCCTTCACCTCCCCCCATCGTGAGCAGCCCTCCCCACCTACTCCAGGGTCATGGCTTCCTAGGTGGGAAGGGGCTTTGGATGCCTCCTGGCCTCTGTTGTCCTACCTGCCCTCCAGGTCCGTGAAAGACCCTCCAAAGGGGCTCTAAAGCCTAGCATCTGACACTCTCCCCCTGGCTTCAGAGAGCCCTAAATGTGTGTCCTTCCCAACACCTCTCCTTGGAGTTGAGACCCGGACATACCTGCATGCTGGCAGCCTAATGGACATTTCATTCATTATTCATTCAGGCATCAACAGCTAATGAGCCTCAACTCCAAGCCAAGTTCTCTGCTCTCGTGGAAATTATGTTCTGAAGGGAGAGGCAGCCGAGTAAGTAATCTCAGTGGGCAACCACCATTTGTCATTCATGGCAGAAACCGTACGATATTGAGAGAATAATAGGGGAACCCATTCAGAGCGGGCCTCTCAAGGCGGCCTTTTAGTGGGACCTGAAGCTGTGCAGTCAGAGGAGGAGAGCTCCAGGCAGGGGCACAGCTGTCTCCAAAGGACCCCATGCAAATGCCCAGCCTATGCTCTGCCCCTGCCACCACGCTAGTTTCCCTAGGTCGGGAGGGACCGCTTCAGCCAGCCAATTGTGCTCACTAAAAACCCAGGGGTCAACCTGGACACTCCTCTGCCCCTATCTCCAGTCACCAAGTCCTGTGGGTTGTCCCTGGAACCTGACAGTGTCACTCTGCCTCCATCCCATCCCAGCTGCCATTTTCTCTCTCCTGAACCATGTAGCAGCACCCCTCCCCGCCCCCAATGGTTCCCTGGTTTCGTTCTTGTGCTCTTCCTACCCATACTCATTGTTCTGATAAATCATCTTTTAGAAATGCATGTTTGCTGGGACTTCCCTGGTGGCCCAGTGGTTAAGACTCCGTGCTCCCACTGCAGGGGGCACGGGTTCGATCCCTGGTCGGGGAACTAGGATCCCGCATACCGCGTGGCACGGCCAAAAAATTTTTAAAAAGCACATTTGCTCCTGTCCCTCCTTTGCTTATACTCGACACTGGCTTTCCCTTTATTTTTAGGATGAAGTCTGAAATCCCTAATGTGCCCCTCATGGTACCCTTTGTGGGTGGCTTCTGCTCTCCTCCTGGGCTCACCTGGAGCTACTTGCACACTCCCTCCCTGGGTTCCTGCCGCACTAACCTTTCGATTCCTTGAAAGCCACCCCAGGGCCTTTGCATAAGCACTTACTCCCACTTACAGTGATACGTCTCATCTTGCCTTAAAGTTACATCTCCAACCTCAAGGGGCCGTGACCCATGACCTCACAGCTCTTTCAGGTGTGTAATTATGTACTGGGTACTTACCTAAGCCCACCCTCCTGCTCCAGGTAGGCTCTGGGGGGCAGAGTCATCTCTGTTCTGCCCACCATTGTAGCCCCAGTACCTAGCACAGCCTGGCACATGCTAGGGGCACCACAATAATTATCTTGGAAATCTGGCTGGCAGTGGATGAAGATGCTGTGGAAATCCTGGATCTCTCGCCTCCTTCACTGTGATCCAGCTCGCTCTCACCTGCCGGACCCTTCGGGGACGGAGGGCAGCTTTCCCCACTTCTACCCCCTGCGGCAAAACGTCCTCAGAGCTGCTACCACAGAAAGCATTTTGCAGCAGTGGAGCCACTCCGGACCCCTCAAACATCCTCTAATGGGGGGCTTCTGACTGATCGCCCCTTAGACCCTTCTAAGGAGGTCATCATCTAGGTCCTTCAGCTCCTGTTGCAGAGGGGTCCAGGCATCACACGGTTGGTAAGGTAGCTAGTATGCTAGCAGTGATTTTCAAAACTTTTTCTTTTTAATCTGCAGAACTTTTTTCTGACATACAACCCAAGTGGAGTCCAGCACTTGAAAATTGAGCTTCTCTGCTAGACATGGTGCTGGGCACCCTGCTTGCTGCCCTTCATCCTCCACCAAGTCCCTCCCTGGAGCCTGAGGTGGGGCGGGAACCATCTCTTTACAAATGTGACCAGAACTTCGATCTGATCTTTCCATCCCACCACATAAGCTGTCTGGTAACCAGGTGCAGATTTCCAAAGCAAAAGTCAGCTCCAGATTTTTGAAAAAACAAACAAAAAACAACTCATCATTTTCTGTGGCTTTCTAGAATGCAACCAGGCAACGCATATAAAAAGCTTCAGAATCCTGAAAACCTTTGATAGAACAACTCAACTCTCAAGAATTATCCTAAGAAAAGTCTTCAGTACAGAAGACGTAGGTTCCTACAAGATGCTTACTGCTGTCCCAATTATAAAAGCAGGGAGAAATGATAAGCCTTCTAGATGCTCAGCAGTAAGGGAAGGTAAGATTACCTGCTTGTGCTCACGGGGAAGGCAGCCTTTAAGGGGGACGAGAAGTCACACTTGATATGGAAATAGGCCCATGATGGTGTAAAGTGAGAAGTAAAGTGACAAAATGTTGTGGACAGAAAGATCCCATTTTCGTAAAAGAAAAGAAAAAAAAAGAAGATATGTGTGTAGAAGAAAAGGGTAGATGCCAATATTTTAATTGTGGGATTATGAGTCATTTTTTTTTTTGCTCACTTGTATTTCTAGATTTTCTACAATAAACGTATTTCCCTTTTATAAGAAACAACAGGACTTCCTTGGTGGTCCAGTGGTTAAGAATCCGCCTTCCAATGCAGGGGAACACGGGTTTTGATCTCTGGTCGGAGAACTAAGATCCCACATGCCACGGGGCAACTAAGCCCGCACGCCGCAACTACTGAGCCCGCACGCCACAACTAGAGAGAAGCCCGCATGGCACAATGAAGAGCCCGTGCGCTGCAACGGAAGATCCCGTGTGCCGCAACTAAGACCCAATGCAGCCAAATAAATATTAAAAAAAGAAAAGAAAAAAAAAACAGATGACATTAGTAAGATAATAATAGACACACCTAAAGGAAGAAATCCCTCACAGAAACAACTGTGGTTGAGCCTCCCCGCGGCCCCTTCAGCTGGGTTTCCTCTTCCCAGCACAGGGCTGGGTGTGAGCCCTGAGCAAGGGGACCCGCGTGATTTTTAAGGGAGCCTCTGGTTCTTCCTGGGCAGGCACCGCGCAGGCTCAACGGAGGAGAGGGCTCCTAAGAAGTGGGCCCTTTGGCCCCCTGAGGTCACAGCCTCAGGGGACATCACACCCCTGAGGTCAGTGAACTCAGGGTGTTTGTGGCTCCACCTGCAGGCAGCTTGGTCCTGCTGCCCCAGAAGGTCGGCTGTGACCTGAATGCGGTCGGAGCGAGCAGTCCAGCCCCGTCCCTTCCCATCTGCCCCGCCGGCCTCAGGGAGCCAAGCACCCACCACCCACCCTCCCCATGGGTGCTGGGCCCGAATGAGGCCCTCTGCATCGTGTGGTGCTTTAATTATCCCCAGCTCAACCCTGGATGGTGGGCTTGTTACTTCACAGCATCAAAATGAAGCCCATAAAAATGTAGACTCTGCAGTCACCAGGCAGCCTGGGCCCAGAACCTGTGCTGGGACGCTTAGGACGCTGGCCCGCTGGTTGGGACGGGATCTCGCAGAGAGACGGCTAAGCCCCTGCTCACGCTGTTTGCCCAGAGCCTCCCGTCTCTGCTCAGGAGACTCCCGCCGCCCAGGCCCGTCCAGGCCGATAACGTCCTGTTCAAACCCTTCAGTCCTTCTGGGGACACTGCCACTCAGAACCCACCACCCCGGGCTCTGTATCCAAGAAACAAGCGAGTGAAATCACTTCCACGGCAGCCCGGGCTCCCCTGCCGCCGCCCCGGCCCCCAATCCAAGGCCTGGGCTGCCCAAAGAGAATAAAGACGAGACAGACTGAGGTATAGTTCAAAGGTTGGTATCTTTTTTGGTTTCCTTTTTTTTTTGCTTTTGTAAAGAAAAATAAGGTTGTGTTTTTTGTTTGAAAGAAAACGTAAGTCAGCCCCCTCCCCGCCCAGCCTCTCCCCTGCCCCTGGGGGGCGCTAGGACCACCAGCCCTGGGCAGGAGGGGCCAGGCTGGCCCAGGCGCGAGAGGAGGGGGCTGGGCACTCAGTCAGGGCTTCCTCAGAGCCAGAGAGGAAGGGTATTCGGGAATGGAATTTGGCTTGGTTAGGCAAACAGTAAAATTAAAAAACTCGACGGCCACGCCCACGGTACGAATGGAGGCCAAGAGGCACCACCTCCGAGTTGGAACCATCTCTGGCAGCTGGAGTCTGGGACGTGGCGTGGCCCCTGGACCCCAATTCCCCCCGTTCTGGGGTGAGGGGTAGGGCAGGAAACAGTAGCTCTCAGGAGTGGGGGGATGTCAGAGCAACCTCCTTCCCCACATGGTAAAAAAAAAATTACTAAAAAAGCACCCAAAGCTTAATAAAACTAAACCTCCCCGGCAGGGAGGACTGGGGGCATCCTGCTTCCCAGCAGAACGCCTTGCCTGGCAAAAATGTGTAGAAAAATAAAATTAAACTTTATCCCTGAATGACAGAGTGAAGACCCTTCCCCTGCCGTCATGAGCCTCCCCACAATGAGTCTCAGAATTCACAGAGGCTGCTGCTTCCTCCTGAAGTGGCACGAACGCGTGCACTGACACACGCACGAGTGTGCACGCACACACGCACACACATACACACACACACACAGCCCCACACCTGTGTCCAGGGCCCAGGGCAGCGGGACGGGGATTCTGACACCCACAGGCAGTCTCTCATTCCTCACGGCATCTTGAGGGTCCCTGTGCCAGACTGAGACCCATCCTTCCTCTTCTCGGGGGCAGGATGGGACCCCAGCACAAGGGCAGGTGTAGGGGGCAGACCTGCCGTATCGGTCGGAAGGGCAGTGGCAGGACCAAGGGGCGTGGGGTAGGAAGCAGGCTGGCCACAGTGGCCTGGAGACAGAGGTCGCGCTGAGCCCACCGCGACAGCAGAATGCTGAGGGTGGGCGTGAGGGTCCAGTCTCACCAGAGACCTGCAGGCTGAGGGGGTCAAACAAGGCCCCTGTGGACAGTGCATGAGGGAGGGGCCTGGAAACGGGGCGGGGCGGGCCCTGGGTAGTGCTCTCACGGCTGCAGGGCTGCTGCCAGGGAAGGTCACCAGAGGTAATAAAATGGGGACACAAGCAGGGAGAAGTGAGTCTGGGGGGTGGTGCTTACACTAGTCCAATTGGGCCCCTGAGACCCAGGAACTCTGAGGGGCCCTGGGCAGGAAACTCACCTGCCCGCCCAGGAGAGCCAGAGGGAAGGCATAGCCCACAGCCCACAGGAAGGGGCAGGACAACGTCAAAAGATGCTGGCCCTCAACGGGGCCTGCCAGGGGAGGTTTATCCTCCACCCGGCTGGAGACCTCCCCTCCCTCCTCCCCCAGGGAGCCTGAGGCGGCCCACGGGACAGAGGGGTACAGTACAAAGGTGTAATCATAGCCCGCGGCTGCGGGCTCAGGGCCACAGCTCCTGATCCCGTCACAGCAGTCGTGGCGTTCCCGCCAGGCAGGGCTGGATGGTGGGGAGGGACCCCAGGGTCATGCAGCCCCTCGGGGACCCCTGGCTTCAGGATCAGAGTGTCAGCACCAAACACACAACTGATGTCAGCCAAAGAGGTGGGCGGGGAGGGCTGGGACCCCCAAGACCATGCCCAGCCCCACAGTCTGTTAGGTGGGGAGAAGGCTTCCGGGACCAGGGCTCCCTCTGGCGAGGTCCAGGGCCCTGGAGAAAAGGGCGGAGGCGGCAGCCCCTCGAGGAGGGCTGAGGCCGGCAGTGGTGGAAGCGGCATGCACCTGGGTGCACCCTCCAAGATTCTCTGGGTGCTGGGAGGCTGCGGACCGCGGGTCAGCGCAGGCTCTGGTACAGGTAGGCCGAGGTGAAGAGGGCGTTGACAGTCAAGCTCACGGCCAGGAGGCCCCGGATCAGCGAGGGGGCTAAACGACCTTCCAGAGAGAAAACGAGAGACCTGTGAGCAATGTGGGGCTGAGGTCCCGCCCCCAGGGGAGGTGCTCCTGGGCTAAGGCCCCACCCCAGTTCTTTCCGGGCACCCAGAGGCCTCCCCATCTGAAAAGACCCGGGAACGTGGGGTCACTTGGTTAAATTCTGACTCCTTTTTTTTTTTTTCGGCTGTGCCCCGCAGCTTGTGGGATGTTACTTCTCTGACGAGCTGTTGAACCTGGGCCCTCAGCAGTGAAAGCGGAGTGCTAACCACTGGACCACCGGGGAATTCCCAAGTCTTGACTCCTTGAAGATACTTCTCTTCCTGACCCTCTGCCACCAGGCAGGTACCGGGCTAGGGTGGCACACACCTGCACCTTGCCATGGGGTACACCAGCTTTACAGACAGGACAGGACGAGTACCCTGCCCAGGCCTCAAAGGCGATAAGCTGCTGACTGGGGTCCCCCACCCCAAGCTGATGCTGCTGGGTCACATCCCAGACCCCACCTGATTTGGGAGCAGCACCCATTTCCAGTCAGCTCAAAATGATCATTACAGGAAAATCCTGTCAACATACATGTCTCCCACACATCTGGAGGGGGGTACCAGGAGCTGACTGCTGGGCTTTACACTGAACTGGAATTTGACGTCACAGCCCGCCCCCATCCCGCAAGCAGAGGAGCCAGGATTTGAACCCAGGCAACTCAGTGCCCTGCGCAGCCTGCAGCCTCTGCACTGGCCCCCAGGGCGCCCACGCTGACACCCTCCCGGGGAACTTTCTCCAAAGGTGAAAGTGTTCTGTATCTGTTCTGTCCAGTCAAGCAGCCACAGGCCACACGCGGCAGTGGAGCGCCTGCAATGTGGCTGGTGCAGCTAAGCAAGTAGATTTTTATTGTTATTACATTTTAACTGTTAGATGTAAAGAGCCACCTGTGGCCAGAGGCTCCTGTAAGAGCACAGATGCAGACCCTAATCTGAGTGGGGATGCTGTCACAGACAGGGTCCAGGGGGCCTCGGGTGGGCCATCTCCCCCTCTTCTGTCACCCAAGAGCCCTCGAGGGGCTGTTCTCAGACAGCTCTCAGGAGGTGGCTGCAGACCCGGAGACCCCGCGCTACCCTGCCCCCCTCCCGCACATCACACGGGGTGCAGACCTCGCCAGGTGGGGGCCTCCTCCGCGCACCCTCTGGTGGTGGTGTCCACCACACAGGAGGACGACCGGGACGAGTCGTCCTCTTTCTTGATGGAGCGGCTGCTGCACGTGCTTCCCCCCTCCGGCGCTGACTTCATGTCTGCAGGGAGAAGGGGCGTTTCAGTGGGAGCTCATGGCTCACCCCCAGGGACAGACGCGGGGCAGCTCCACCTCCAATCCCAGGATGGTCCTCAGACGCGGCCAGCCAGCCAGCCCTCCCGGTCCCAACTTGCTCGGCCCGCCCCAGGCAGTGGGCAGTGGGAGGCCAGGTCCTCATTCAGGTCCTGTCTGTGTAGCTGCCGTGAAGGGAGCTGGCTTTAGATCAGGAGCAACAAACTCAAACACCGCCAGGCGGTAGAAGACGACGGCCACAAGCGAGGCTGTGGAGGGGGCAGGTCAGTGGGGCAGGGAGTGGCAGAGGCTGGGGCGTGGGACCTCAGCCTGCCCTTCTACCTGTCTGGCCCAGCGTGGCCAGATCTTCTGATATAATACGAGACACAGGAAATCCACACATTCATGTGAAAGTTCTAGATTTTAAAGGTTGAGGCCTAATTTTAAAAATTCTAAAAT